TCAAAACAAAGCTTTAACTGAAGTTTGTTTGATGGACGAGGACAGGTTTTCAAAATTTTCCTTTATGTTAGAGGTCAGGTTTGGGGTGTGGGGGGAGCACTGAACAAAAGGCCTTCAGAATTGAAATCACTGAGCTGAAAGACGTTTTGTGACAACCGTCAGATAACATCAGAAACATGAGCCATACACAGCATGTTTCATCCCATCTTGTCAATAAAGCTGGCTGTGCGTTTGTGTCAGAAGGGATAATTTTTTAATCAATTAAACTATATGTTTTAATTATTATTTTTGTTAATTTACCTTTTTTTTTTTTTTTTTTTTTTAAAGTGGTGAGATGAACATATCAAACGGTGAATGAAGTGCAGTCTAAACTGAGCTAAACATCTGCATGCCAGGGTGGACCCCTGTGGGTTAGGTTGTTATTCTGAATAGGCCATGGATGTGAGGAAGGCCCACAGTGTTTTTAAGCTTTTCTTGTAGTGTAAAGTATATTTGTACATTGCTTTTAAAACTAACCACACCTGCGAGCACTATTTGGGGATTGTCCTCACTTGCCATTTTGCCCCTTTTAGAAAATTTGACCCTATGGGTGGTCAGTCAGGCTAGAAAACTGCTATGTAAAGGCGTGCATTTCACAGTCCATACCCTGTGCGCATGAAAGCAAGGGAGAGGCTGGGTTTTAGCTGTTGTGCTTTCTTGGCGTCATCAGCAGCACCTGTGGACACAAAACAAAAATAAAAAAATTACTATGTTTCTTTATGCAGTGCATATATCCAGGCTAAGTCACATGCAATGTAAAACCTCAAAAGCTAAACAACAGGTATTTGTAATGCTCACATAATGTTCATGCACTTCATAATGCATCAAAAATGCTATTAGTGTGGTCTGTTTCCACATGTGCTGTGCAGACTTACAGCTGTAGTTCTTGAGCAGTATGTGGGCATAGGCACGCTGACAAAACCACTCAGCGTTGTCTGAGTCTCCTTGTAAGGCCTCGTTAAGCTCCTGAAAATAATAACGGGGTTGCCATTATTGTATAAAGGGCTTAAAATCGTGTTTTCAGCTTCAAGAATTGTGGCAAGAAAGAAACTTCTAGAAAAATGCTTAAATCGAAAGTAGCGCTGTTATGCATCTGCAACTTTCACTTTCGCAGTCGGATATCTTTACAGAACAAGCAGTTCTCCGTAAATCTATTCGAATCTGTGTTATTCCTGCAAACCAAACTGTAATGATTTTCATAATGCTGCCCCGGTTAGTCACATAAATAACCGCAGATTCACCAGAGGCTTTTAAAACAGCAGAAATAAACTTCACTGGTTTAGTCTGTTCACAGTTGACACCAACTTCGTGTCAGGATGACAGGGCTAGTATCCAGCAAGCAGACTATTTCGAGCTAACGTTATGTAGTAATACCTCCTCACGCATGAGACATATTTAATTCTTAATGGTATTAAAGAAACAGGTGACCGTTTGATATGATAACGAAGCGATTCTGGGATTACTTTTATTCATAACTAAATAGGGCTAGCAAACATGTTGGCTAACTTCGCTAGCTTGTTGGTAATATCAGAAACACAAACACCACGGGTATTGCTCAATTTCCTTTCTAGAGTAAGTCCACTGAATTTAACGTTAAATGGACATCCTGCAAGAGCCACCGTGCATCGCGCAAACTTGTTTGTGGCTAACTGAGACTAGTGTTTTACCTGCAGAGCTTTCTGTGGATCTTCGTCAATGAAGCTATCGGGGAAGCTGCTAAAAGCAACAAAAAAGCAAGTTAGCGTTAAATAACCGAAAGAAAAGAAATGTCTGCTGCTATAAGAACAGTTCATTGATAGATTTCGATGAACTTACCGTTCGGTTGCCATCTGCTTCTGTGGATGTGCACTGTTTCTGGAGTGACAGGAAAGTTCTAGATGTGGAGACTACGAGAAACGTGATAGCGGTAACAGTTACAGCTCAAACACAGCAGAGAGCCTGTCAACATCCGGCTGCGCACAGCTCATACTGCCTCTACTGCCCCTAACGGCCCGGAGGAGTTATTGCAAAATAGCGATAACTTTTTTTTGTTTGTTTTTTTGTTTTTTTAAGGAGACGATTTTCTGGACAGCGAATTAGGCCGCAGATCTGTCAAAGAATAGAAACGTTTAAATTGAAACTGGGTACGGTCAGCCACCAGCAAATTTATAATACCATTAATGAAAATAAAAATGGGGTTAATATAATATAAACACAAAAGACTAAGACTTTCTCAGACTGTCAGGAAACATAAATGATACAATATATCAAAGAATTACGGAGACATGGCTAAACTCAGTCAGACTTCAGTCAGACTTCCTGTGAGAGCTGTGGTACAATGAACCTATTATGTTAGCACAAAAATGTCCAGTGATTCATTGGGAGGATGAAATGCTCCAACATCAGCTGGATCTGTAATCAGACAGAGAACAACGGAAATAAGACAGAGAATCGGCTGTGGGTTGTAATGTTGACAAATTTGTGTTGCACGTCTCTTTAAGGAAATAATGCAAGACTGTAAAAGACATCCATTCTAGGTAGTCGTGTGCATTATTAACGTTCACATCTGGAAAACAAGGGGTAAAGTAGCTATTTGATCAAAAGATAACTACCAGTTACACTGCATGTGTTTAAAAATATTGTTGCTGATCTCAGGAGGAGGAAAACATTTGGACTGAAGAATACTCCTCTTCCCTGGGACATTTTAAGTATTTAGTGTTATCTATCCTTGTACATGCTTTATGTATGTGTAACATGTAACATCCTGTTGCGTATGTCCACAAAGACCAGCAGGTCAACTGATCACAGCCGGTACACTAAGAAACTCTGCTGGAGCTCACAGAAGAAATTATTGTGAGTTCTCATTCTTTTCCCCACACTAAACCTCTACAGTGGATTTTGGGGTTTCCCCATGTGCAGAATCCACTTTAACCCTCTCGAGGCAGGCGGTGCCAATTTGAAACAGTTAAAAACTAACAACCTGATTACCCCACATACATATTTTATGAGTTTTTTTTACTCAGAAGTACCACTGCAGGACTTGGTTGTGCATTAGCAACAAAAAGTTTAATTTGAGCCTGAGAGGGTTAACCCCTGACTGTACACATTTTCTTGTTTAGAGGAAAAGTCACCCTCTACACTGCAGGCAACACAAAATAAACTTCTTCTTTTTCATGTTCATGTTCTGCATACTTGATTCAAGTTGAATACATTCATTAGAAATAAAATTTAGATCAGGAATTATATAATAAAGACTGCATTGCCATGTACTACTGTCACTTTATTATATTACTATAGCTCAGTTAGCTTTGCACAAAAATATCTGGTTTAGAAATGTCCTCCAAAGAGCTACTTTACTTTGAGTACATTTCAGAGCCTGTACTTTTCACTTCTACTTGAGTAAAGAAGTCAAATCAGTACTTTAACTTTTACCAGAGCACTTTTTAACAGAGGTATCTGCACTTCTGCCACCTCAGATTAGCACCATTGGTATGTTAAAAAGGCTGGTGGTCGCCATTGCTACCCCTAAGCCACCTACAATCTCCTCAATGGTATCAATTTGAAAAGCCTATGTGACATTTTTTTTCAGTTACTATATTCACAAGATTTTCACAGAGCTTGACCTCTGACAAGGTAACAGAGATGCAAACTATGGTATCAGTTGGAAAAACCTACATCAGCTTGTTCAGTGTTAATGTGTTAAGCCAAAAAACAACTTCGCCAAATCAGAAATAGAATTAACACCTTTCTGACAACAGCAAAAAAAAAAGAAAAACAAACTGATCGTGTCAGAATTCTGTAGAAGTAGTTCTGGCAGATCTGTATCATTGCATTAGGCCTTTACTAATAAAGCAGCAGTCGAACGCACTGCTCAAATGTGACATATACACTCATCATGTCTACTGATGCTCCGAGTCTTTCAAAGGAACAATGATGGATTTCACACAATGACAAATGTAAATTTATTTCATATAATAGACGATTAGCTTTAACATCACTGGACTGCATGAAAGCAAACACAATACAGCATAAAAAAAAACAAGCTCCATGGAGGGAGCTTGTAGCAGAGCTCACTCTGCTACAAGCTTACAAATCTATTAAGGTAAGACATTACCAGGACACACACTGAAAAGCAAGGGGCAAAAAACCCCAAAACAAACAAACATGGTTTAACAAAGTGAAAATAGTTCTGCATAAGAGTTCCCTGCAGGCACAGTTACTTTATAAGCATCTCTTTGCCAAGTTTAGCCTCTCAAAAAGCCAGCCTAACTTTCAGTCGTTTTTTTTTTTTTAAATTTGGAGTGAGGTGAAGTTTGTAAGCCAGCTTCGTGAGCCTACGCTAAGACCGGCCAAAGAGAAAATAATAAACTAACAATTTCACTTTTACTTGTTGCATAGAGTACATAATATGTGCAGCACAAAAATGCTTTATAAACCTGAGGGAAGGAAAAAAAATGGCATCAAAAGAACAAGTCAGGCGCTTTCACAGGTATACAGTACACAAAGATCAGCCAAAACATTAAAACCACCAGCCTGGTAATATGTAGGTCTGCTTTGTGCAGAGATGCCGCTGCTGGCGCCTTCTGCAACGCTGAGCTCGATGCTAAACCCACGTGAATGCCAGCCAAACATTGCACTGTAACGAAATGACCAATGTTCACTTCAGCCAGCACAGTGGTTTTAATGTTGAGGCCCTACAGTGCGTAATAGACGCATACAGATAGAGGATTCTGAGTTTAATATATGCACTCATATATGGATAGCTAGTGCACAAGGGAAAAGCTAAATAGTAGCACTGTCATTTTACAGGAGGCAGGGTGGCTACAAGGCCACTTCACTGGTGATTGTCATGAAGAAAATAGAAAAAAAGAGTCCAATGGTGTCGATAAACAAATAATAAACAGCGCAAGTGCTAAAGTACTACTTTGAAAAAAATAACAGTGATCCCTTGTTTTCAACATTTCACAATGCAGACAAAAAAATGCAGCAATCTTAAAAAACAACAACAATAATAATAACAATAACAATATGGAATGTTTTCCCTTATGATTACCAGGAATAGGATGGACTGACATCTTCAGGCACTTCAGAAGAAATATACAGCAGAGGTAAACATTAGTGCAAAGCCACTTTTAAGGCAAAGGAATGCTTCAGCACGTGATAGCATAAAGACACAAAACTAAACAACAAGGAGAAAGTGAGAGCAAAAGGCAGAGACGAAGGGCACAGTGTGGTGATAAGATAATTGCTTCCAGGACACTGGAGCTGAAGTGCAAGCAGAGAAAGTGTCTGCAGGCAGTGCAGAGAGGCCAGAGATTCCAGTGCATGTCTGTCTTTGGTGTTGGTTTAACAAAGGGCTACACAGAATGACAATAAGGCGAAATGATCAGATTTCAAAGCTGAGAAGGTAAACTGCTGTGAGATTTTGGTTCCTGTCAGCGCTGCGAGAAAGCACTGATCTGTACTTATGATCTAAAATAATATTCTACATCAAAAGTCCCTTTGTTTTTAAATCAGCATTGTCATAGCAAAGTGCAGCCCTGTAAGTGGTCCTGAGTCAGTGGAGTGTACAGGCATCTGTGTGTTCAATAGAAAGTGGGCACCTGTTATTTGTATTGGTCAGAGCTAATCAGAGGCATAAGCTGTGGAGTTTTTGGTCCTGGGTGCGACTTTTTCTCGGCCATCTCCGGCGCACCTTTTCTCCCTATGGCTACCTCGGCAGAGGCAGCGGCCTGCCGCTCGCACAGACTCCCCAGCAGCTGAGCCGTTTTGAAGACTGACGCATGACCGGCGGGTTTGAGAGACTGGACCTTTTGCAGGTTCTGGAGCGTGCGTAGCATCTCAGCCGACACGATAGGCAGATGCTGTTCCTGGATCAAACTGGAGCTGGTGGGACGCAGGACGGTGTCGCGCTGAGCTGAGGGCCTGGGAGCGGGCCTGGTGCGCTGTGAAGCGGGAGTGCGGCCGGAGACGGGGGACGATTTCTTTGGCGGTGGCTGAGAATCTTCCTGCTCCTCCGCTGAATGGTCACTAGACGATACGGTACTGTCAGAGTCGTCGCTCAAGCCTTCGTCGTTGACGCTGTTGTCATCGTGGTCCTCGTCGTCTTCCTCTTTGATGCCATCTCCATCGGTGATGTAAATCATGTCTTTGGGGAGAGAGGTGAACTGGTAAACGAGGCGCTGGCCTTCAACCTTATTCAGTATTCCTCTCTGGTAGTAGTACCTGCATGGAAAAAGCAGAAACCGACAGCTTTCAAACCTGCTACAGTTTTTAATTATTCACGTCTCATTTGTAAAATCTCAAATTAAAATGACAAAAAAACCTTTTGTTTTTTGTCAAAAATATATTTTTGACTCTTTATCGATGCATTTTAATCCTGTCTTACTGAATACAGAATACCGTTTTCTTGGTGTACTGTGATTAGGTTCCATACCTGCCCCTTTCTTACTAGCCTAGATTGGATAAACTGTTGCATTTACATGCATAAATTAAAAGTTAAATGAGTTAAACTGGTTTAAAAATGAAAAAAGGTTAAATTAGTACTGACAAGCAGGATCAAACTCGAGTAGACTGTACAATAAGCTTCCATTTGATTTTATTAAGCACTACTATTTATTAGACCTGTCATAAAAACAAGAAAAAACAAATATTTTGAAATCTGCCAAAAGTTTGTTTAAAACTACAAATGATATTGTTACGTGTTAGACAAACGGCAAACTCAATTCACCTTTTTATACCCAAATTTGGGGCAACACACCGGACTTTTCTGAGAAGCCGGGAACGAATCAGGCATATTGCTCAAGCACTAAAACTATT